TCTGGTTTTAACCAGGCTAAGAGATTGGTGGTAAAGCCTTTCCCTCTCTGTTGCTCTCCCTCCCTCTGGCAGTGGTGCTTCAGTGAGGGTTGAGTTATGAGCGGCCTGGCCCACTCACAGCGATCTCTGCTTCCTCATTAGGCCTTCATTAACCCTCTCAAGCTGAGCTTCCACTCAGCCTACCAGTGGATATGTTTGGACACCATTCTTCATTTCCCACAATCCCCCGCTGCTCAGCACATTGTACGGGAACTGTGGTTCAGTGCCAGGCTTTCAGCACATTTACTGTAAAAAGACATACAAGGCTCAGGGGACATACATTGACCTAATGCGGTGCACAGACACGTTCAGGAAGAGAAACTGCTTTTGAATGTGTCAAATGCATGTCATTATTTTGACAAATAATATCCCTTCAGTGATGCCTCAATAGCTTTAAAATTGAGACTCTTAAGCAATAAAAAATACAGCCACTTATATACCTTCATGCCCTTGCGTTCGCCTGAGGATATCTGTAATATAGATGTAGAAATATCCTTAGCAGGTTTAAAAAAAAACTTTTTGATCTCAGATCTCAAATTAAAAGTTATATCTGGAATGTTGGTGGCTGCCATATTAAGTTTGGGACTCTGGGAGGCTGATGTGATAAAAGTGATCATTTGATCAGCGTTAGTCCCCCGTGTGTGTGTGCGTGCGTGCGTGTGTGCGTGCGTGTGACCTGGTAAACCCGACATTATGGGGACAAAATGTCCCGACAAGGATTGTAATATCCGAAACCCTTATCCTTGTGGGGACATTTTTTAGACCCCATCAGGTAAACAGCTTATAAATCATACTAAGTGATGTTTTTTGAAAATGTTAAAATGCAGAAATGGGTAGATTGTGTGATGGGTAGGGTTAGTGTAAGGGGATAGAATATACAGTTTGTACAGTATAAAAATCATGTCTATGAAAAGTCACAATATGAAAACACAATGTGTGTGTGTGTGTGTGCGTGCGTGTGTCCATGCCCACCGAAAACTGGAGCAGTGGTAAACTTGCATTAATTCACCTAGGACAGCTTTACATTAAATAATGAATGTTTGGGAGACTTGACTAAACATGTGAGCAAACAGTCTCCAGTGAGTCTCATAAATGAACAAATGAATTTATATGCTAATGAGTTAATTAGGACTATATATCAGCAAAATTCCCCCACCACAGTTTTATTGTGTATATATATGTATGTGTGTGTGTGTGTGTGTGTAATATTATAGATATGTAGATATGTATTAAAGTTTATTTTACTATAAACCTTTAAAGAAATTAAATATTATATATTGATATTTGTTGTATTAAAATGTATAATATATTGTGATCTAAGACTAATAGTTAGGATTGCGCACTCTCTTTTACTTCCTTTCTTCATCCCTCTGTTAATTTATCCTTTATTTCACCATTGGACATCTATACTCTGGGGCCATTTGGATATAAATAGCATAAAGCAGAAGCAGAAAGTTCTCTCCATCTCTCCTCTAGCTCTCCTAAAGTCTAGGTGCCCTACTCTCTGAGCATAACGTCTGAAAATGATGCGGATGACCTCCTCTAACAGCACCCCTCACCTTTCCATTCACTCTCTGCCTGAGGGATGAGAGAGATGTAATGATCTAAATAAATGCAGAAGAGTTCCCAGCAGGAAATGTTTCTGCCGTGTGTTTGCTAGTGGTTCTCAACTAGAGGGATGCAACACAAAAATGGGTCACAGCAGGTCTGTTCTGAAAAAAACAAACAAAAAAAACAATGCTAATTGCAACTAACAATGCAGCCATTTATAGTTAGTATAGTAAAGTAAAAAGGTTTAGACCATTTGTCCAATCAAATCATATTATTTTGCTGCAAATTCATGTGTCGCTTTGTTATAGGTTACATAACATCTCCTCATTCCCAAGAACTATGAGAAAAGGTATGTAAAAGAAAATGTGACCCAGATAATATTAAATACAGCTCAGTGTTTTGATTACTTAGTACAAAAACAGTTTAATGTTTTGGCCATGAAATCTGGATCCTGTAAACCAGTTGAGAACCATTAGCTAATTGACAGTCTAGACTCTTCTGCCTTGTTTTCCATGGGCATTGAGGTTTTGAGAGAGAAGCAGAGATTCCTGAGGTTGTGTTGTCCTATTTTTGTGTCCTGGCCCTTGGTTTTTATAGCTATCTTAAAGATTTGAAAAGACGAAGAGGTGAAAAAAGTGAGCGGGACCATTTGTCCCCCTCTTTCTCTTTATGGCCCCGACACCCCCTGGAGACATTCTCCTGCACAAAAATAAAAATGTTACTAGTCTCAAGTCAAGACTTAACATTTACTCCAAAGGGCAGGCCATAAACTATTAATAGACAGCTGTCTGTCTGCACAAGCCTGTGAGGGAGAATGATTTTATATTGAATCCTCATGTGGTTTGCCAGTAAGGGGGAGAAGAGGTGGTCCGGTCTCTCGCCATCCCGCTGGGATCCTGCTTTATCTCCCTCTCCATCCACCAGCAGACGAAACGAGAGAGGCCATTACAAGGCTGTCTGGGAATATTGCAATATTCAGCAGGGCGATTATCTGACGTCTCTCTGGGAGGCACGTTTCCTCTGTGGAGGGAGAGAGAGAGGCGTACCTGTGGCGGAGAGGGAGAGAGTGAGGCTGATAAGGACCCTTAGAGTTGACAGAGAGGAAGTATCACCTTTCTTGGTTTTAAAGGTCTTTCAGGGCAGGAATGAATATTTATATAAGGACTCAAAATCTAAAGGTGATCGCCACAGTGTTTAATAACAGTGTATAACATGTAATGCTTCTGTTTTTAATTTGTCTAACTTATTTGAACTCTTTCCCCGCCACTGATGGACTTTTCCCTCATTTATGGTGCAACGCTTCCCAGCCATTGACTGAATTTTCCTGCAATCCAGGTTTTCACTGTTATACTGTATGGGGCGCTATTAATCATCTTTTGAAAGAGTGCAGAATCTCCGGATTAAAAGAAACAGAAACAAGGGGTAAAAGCATTGCTTATGCACATTGTAGTCTTTGACAAAAAATGCCATTTTCTTAGCTTTTTGTTCAAAATATAGATTGTTATGAAACTTACATTCAAGTGTTGATAGAATAAATGAAGAATACATGAAGCTAGAACAAAGGATCTGTTCTTTCTTTTAATATATTCATACAAAAAAATATTCTGGGGGCCATGAAAGTTTTGTGAAAATGATCAAAAAAGCTGGCAACTTTCTTTCTTCTTTTTTTTTGGCGGGATGGATCGAATTGAAACATTAACATGTATTTTTGAATTTCTTAGTGTCATCTAACCGTCTGTACAAAGTCGTTCACATAGTCAAAGTCACAAATTTAGTCATGATTAGCGAAGAAAAAGTTCAGGATCTTATTTCCTTTGTGTACATTTTTCACAATCCTAAACCTTTTTGTTTATTTTCAGATTTACAAAGTGGCCTTTTGAACCCCACTGAACATAATATGCAAATATAAAGAAAATGTTTGTTATTTAAATATTTGGAGGATCTATGATTTTGGTAATACACAAAAGATTGCCATCAACCTGTAGGGAATACACTGTGTGTGTGTGTGTGTGTGTGTGTGTGTGTGTGTGTGTGTGTGTGTGTGTGTGTGTGTGTGTGTGTGTGTGTGTGTGTGTGTGTGTGTGTGTGTGTGTGTGTGTGTGTGTGTGTGTGTGTGTGTGTGTGTGTGTGTGTGTGTGTGTGTATACTCTTGTTCACATGAGGTCTTTGTTTTGGGAACATGGGAAGAATCAAAAGAGGGGTTTGCATTGAGATCCCTGTTGTACTAGTGTAATCATAGAGATCTTAAGCAGGATGGTCAGTCTGGGTGGTCCGGAATGGAAAGAGATGGAACTGAATTGAGTGAATTGAGGATCCGGTCTCTGCAGTGATAAGAGAGTGCTGGCAGGTTTTATGTTTTTTGTTTTAATTTCAATCTTGATGTTCTGCTCCTAAGTGACATTGCTTGCATTCTAGTGAGCTGCGGTTAGAGATGACTAGAAGTTTGAGCTTAAGTGGAGGAAATGAAGGGTGGAGATGATTGATAATGTGTTTTCCTCCTTTGTATATTTTATTGTACCACTTATCTTGATCATACTCTTGATTCAATACAATAAAATTCATTGTCTGTCCAGTATACAGTATGTAAATTGTGCACAGTATGCACATTTTCTGTATCCTATAATGCAAAGCACTCAGCTTGATCTTTTACTGCCAGTGTGATTCTACCAGTTAAGAAATGTTTACATAAAATTAGGTTGTAAATGCAAAAATACCTTTATTTTATTTCCAAAATGATAACTTGACGGCACTCACTAATTTAAAAGTCAACAACAATGTGACAACAATATAGCATTCTACTAAGTTTAGTATTGCACAATATGCGGAAATGCTTTTTAAAGTAGTATTCAGTGTATACTGTGCAGTATACAAAACACTAGTAGTGTTCAGTTACGAAACATAGTCATATAATTGTTCATAGTTTTTCACTGTTGGCATGTTTTCTCTGTATGTGTTTTTTTTTTTATAGCTAGGCATAGTCATAACATCTTGACTGCATAAATGCAATTAATATATTTATGATATTGCAGAACTCTGAACAATATGTTCTGCAGATTTTCAGTTGGAACATTCACCATTTATTTCTACACTTGATTTAAATGTTTTGGCTTTTTTGATGATTCCTATATTGCTTTGTGTAAATCGATAGTTTACCAAAATTTCTTTATTAAATAAACTATGTATTACTGTTTTAGAACTAGACTAACACTCATTTGCATTTTAACTTTAAGAAAAGTCTCTAAAAATGCCTCAGTGTCATAATTGAGTCCCCTGAGCTCTAGGTATGACAGGTTTGAGTACTAGTACTTTCATATTTATTAATAGTGTTGCCCTTAGCCATGTTTTTACCCAGAAAGGCATTGATCCAGGTTTCCATTATGCTAAATGCCTCTTTTCTACTCTTTCTGCAGATCGACCGTGTCATATTCTGCGTCTTTCTGGAGACAGATTATGAGATTTACAAGAGGAAGATGTCAGATTTCTTCTCCCCAGGTACTGTATCTTCTTATTGGAATCTTTACTTCATTTTATTTGTTGGTTGTAACACCCACTCAGCTCAAAGCTTGTTACCCGGGTATCAGGCAGGATTCACAGTGTCGAAAGGGTTGTTGCCACCTTTGATTTGTGAAAAACCGGGACACTTTGAGGGGGAGGGGTCAACCAGGGGCGTTTCCAGCTTTGAAGGACATCAAAAAAGAGAACAATCCTGGGAAAACCGGGACGGGTGGCAACCCTAAGTGTCAGGCCGTCTGACTGGCGTGACGTTTGTAGTAGAAGCGCACAAATACAGCACAGCAGGCAGGGATTGGATTCCACATAACCAAAACCTGTTTATGGTAATGTACCGCCCAAGCTTCAACCGCACCTTTATCATAGAACGCTATCAAGATAACCGCAGTCAGACTCTCTTCTGAGTAAAGGGCTAATTCATCCCAAAATAAAGTCATTGTGTACTCATTTTCTATCATCATTTATGTTGTCCTAAACTTGTGCGATTTCACTTCTTCTGTGCAAAACAAAAGCTACAATTCTGAAGACTGTGGTGGCTTTTTAAAATGATCATTAATTGCAGTGAATAGCAATATTAAATTCTTGCAATACCAGATGCTGTCGTTTCAGGACAGCATTTCTAGAACCCTAGTTTTTTTGCAACAAGCTAATTCTACTCCAACAGAGGAGACCTGATTAAAACTTCAAACAAACAGATCCAAAGACTAGACACACAGAAATGACTCATTTTTATTATCTTTTAACACTACTTTTAACATAAGAGCGGGCAATTTAAACTTGAATGCAAGATTATTATAATTTAGTTATGCAAAAACAGTCTGGATGTTGTAAACTGGTATTTGTTTTCCAGGTATTTTAATTTATTAACGCACTAATAAAGACACTAGTTTTACCGTTTACTACATTTTAAGTGTCACACATCAGACGCTGCTCTACGGCTAATGAATTGAAGTATCGCACATACACAGAAAATAGTCTCTTTCCAAGAAGAGAATTTAAAACCAGAATAAAGTTGCTCATATATTGAAACAAATTATGTCAGGGTTAGGGGTTGGTTAGGACAATATATCAGTGAAATTTTTACAATTAAGCAACCTTAAAAATAATAATAAAAATACAGAAATGAATAGTAAGTTCTATAAAATAGTATTAACTGTTCATGCATAAAAAAAAAAAACTAAAATAAAAAAAACTAGGGTCCTAGAAATGCGGTTCTGAAACTGCTGCCTCCGGTATTGCAAGACTTGTCAATAGAGCAAAACCTTTCACAATGATCGAAGGCATCATAAAAATGCAATTTATGCACTATATAATTTTCTAAGGTCAAATGATAGCTTTGTTTGAGAAACAGACACATTTAAGTTATTCCCTGAAATTCTTGAAATAATTCTCCTCGGTGCGTTCATAAAGAAAAGATTTCCGATTTAAGCACAAATTGCTCTTTTGAGTTCAAGATCTTTTCAATGAATGTGGTTCAGAAAACCGACATGAATGTGACATGACATTCATCATCACTCGGCCCCGGTTACATTGGTTAACAGCTTACTGGAGGAAAATGATCACTTAAATTCCCAACTGTTTTTCAGACTTGAAACATATTGCACGAGTTTCATGACACTTTTATGCTACATTTGCTTCATTCATTGTAATTGAATGGAAAAGAGAGACCAGCAAAGTCCTCAGAATCTCTACTTTTGTTTTCCACTGAAAAAAAAGAAAGGCATACAATTTTGGAGTGACATAAGGATAAGTAAATGATGGCATAATTTCTTGCTTAAATCAATTTCAAACAGGTTTTCCAGTCTCACCGTTGGTTGAGTCAATTACTCAAACAAACAGAGTAATGTTAAAGCCGCCAGGGGAAATCAGCCTACAAATGGCTTACTTATAGCACAATAAGCCAGGGAAAGAGAAAGCGTTTTAAAATTGAAAGAAGAAACGGCAACACAGACATCATGTTTAAAGAATACATAAAATATTACATATATAAAAGACCCACAATATGTACACTGAGAGGAAAGGCGAGTAATAGGAAAAGCATTGGAACGTGTTTTTGCTGTCTGCATCTCACGGCTCATTGCATTCGCTTCTCAGTTTGTAACCAGACGCCTTTGAGTGATTTTTGGTGTTTCCACAAACTCGATTTATAACTAAGCTTTTAGGCCGCTAGACCATCTCTCTTCACCCTGCTGTCTGAGAATCCCTTGAAATACTCCAGCGTATGAGTTTAACAGGTGTGGAGTGCTTCGGCTGCTTGTATTTCACAGTACCGATAGCTTGTCTCTGAAGCGCAAACGTTGTAGCCCGGAGGTCCATATGTAGAGCAGAGGCTTTGCTTCTGTCAACACCCTCAGCGATCCTGAGCCTCAACAGCGAAGCCCAGATGTCAGAGTCACGCAGGATGGCACCTCCTCGGTGACATTCCACCTCACACTTTTGCTTGCCTGTTTCTGGTTGGATCGTGTGGTTTCTGGTGCTGGCGTTGCTTTATGTAAAGATGAACTGTCGTGTGATGGGACTTCAGAAGTCGGTTCCTCGGTTTTCACTTTCTTTTACTTACACTTTGGCCTTCTGTCAATGTCAATATGACTGTTTCACTTGCACCCTATCCCTCACTTTGCCTCTCTTTCCATTTTTTTTTACTCCCTCTCCCTCCTTATGAGACACTAGCTGCAGTAGTTCCATGGGAACTTGTCTAGTTTCTCTCTCTTTAAAGGCCAAGTCTCTCTCAGGAAGCCTCTTTTCAGTGTCCCTGAGCGCTAAACAAACATATAATGTGAGTGCGGGCCGCACCGGAGCCCTTTTGGACCTTCCCAAGTGTCCTGCTGTCTTGCTCTGCCTGAAGCTCGCTGCACTTCCATGACAAGAAACCCTGGAGGTTTCCAAATGAGCCGCTGCCTGGAGGTTCATCATTTGTATGGACACGCACACACACACAAACAAACAAACAAACAGAGGAATCCTGAATGCACCGGGAGAATAATATAATCCACCATTACCTCCCCTCGTACACACACTAGGAGTCGTGGACCGGGTGGAATAATAAGTGTCAAGACACTTTTCCCCCACTTGCTGAATGTTTTGTTTCTGTCATGTTCCTGTCTCACACACACACACACACACTTACACAATTTCCCTATTCCAGGTCTTGCTAAAAGATAGAATTCACCAGAGAATTTGTAATTATATCAGCCAGGTCCCTGTTTCCCAGGCACGTCTCTTTGTATTAGTGTTTAGAAATGAGATGACGGAGGCACTACTCTTTTACTTTACAGCCAATCAGGATGAGCTTGCTCTCTTGTTCTATCGCTTGCTATTTATTTGTGATTTGGACCTCACTGAAGTCTTAATCCAGCACTACTATAAACTACTTTTGGTCCTAAATGCTTTATCATAAATTGTAAAAGACTATATTTGATAAATTTTTAGTTTATGAGGGTTTTTTACCCACTTAAGGGGTTTTACCCACTTAAAACACCTGTTTGATGGCTTTTCATGGCACAAAGCTATGATGCAAGTCATGTGAAAGACATGACTTGCATCATGGCTTTGTGCCATGAAAAGACATCAAACAGACGTTTTTTTTTAGGTTACTGGGTAGCAAGAAAGCTGGAAGTGTGTGCAGGAAATAGGGAATGAGTCTTCTGATGCATGTAAAGTTTTTATTGGCTTTGCTTCGAAAGGTCAGTGGCGAATGTGACGTTGATGTGAGTCTTTATAATGTTAATCAAGATTTCTTACCCCAAAAATGATAATTTACGTCCACATGGCCTAAATATTAAATTAGTATTTAAACATGGGCAGTCAAAGGTTCTTATTACTAAATAAAAAATTAAACAAAATGAGAATTATTACTTATGTAATATTTCACTGTCAAATAAAATAGAGTTAGTCCTTGTCAACACTAATAAGTCTTTTCTCTCCGTTTTGGCCTTCCCCCCACACTGAGACAATGTTTTTATTAACGAAAACAAAGCTTTTTGAAAACGCTCTCCAAAGTGAATGCATTTGAAAAATGCTGCACACACAAGCTGGAAACTGAAACATGCGGTGCATATACTTAATTATTGATTAATTGTGGATTTTGAATCAGTGCTCTAAAACATTTTTCAAAATATGTGTACAAAATTTCACATATTGTTTTCCATTAAATGACCTCTTTAAAATGAATCTCAATAGTAATGTTACAATGTAAAAAGTAATTCACAAAGTCTGGGCTTTTAAGGAGTTTGAGATGTCAGGTTAATAGTTTCAAAGTCACACAAATGGTTTTATTATTCAAATTTGGGTCGAGGAGGCAGACACGCGCTGATTAATAAACAGAGAGAGTGGTCTGACTGGGTCGGAGGTCTTTATGGTCATGAGTCTGGAATTTATTTCAACATTGTTTTTTGTTTGTTTGTTTGTTTTGACATCAAACTCTCTAATCCACCATAGAAATTGTAGTTTAATGTAATCAAAGTAGTTGTTTCTCTTAATCTGTATGTTATACATCATTTAAATAGCTTGTTCCGAGACAGTATCTGTGTTTAATATGAGAATCGTTATGAGTGACATATGGAGTTATTATCTGTATTGAAGTAAACTCGTAAACAAGCAGCATCATTTGTGTTTTCTTAGCTACATCATTAGCATGTTTCTCTGACTGCATATTAGATATTGATTGACGCAGGAGGAGTGGGTATGGAGAGAACATTCCAGAAGAGCGAAATTATCACGAGGATGGTATTGGGGCGAATCGTTGAGGAGTGAGGTTTGAAGTGCTTTTTAGATGGAGAGAGAGAGACAATAGGACTGAATTAGCTCTGCTGGTGTCCCTGATAGCGGCAGTTGTAAAATGTGCGAAAATAACAAGGGCCTGACAGCTCGATCCCAACACCTCATCATCATCATCATCACCATGGGAACCAGCGTGCCAAGAGCTGCGGAAGAGACGTGCTCATTTTAACTGAGCTTTAAAGCTTGCATCTCGCACTGTGGCT